CCTTGTTCTGGATCATAAGGTGCGGAATCCACATGGGCGAAGGTAAGAAACAAAAACAGGGAGGGAGACATGGGTGGGAGTGGTCGACAAGCCCTCCAGAAATAGCTGCAAGTTGGGATAGAGAACTTACCAGGACATAATAAGGGTCAGATAGGTAGAAGTATCTATGAGGAAGAACTCAGAGTGTATTTGGGACAGTTTGCTGGAACAATAAGTTGTGGATCCAAACAGGGCTCAAGCTACTTTGGATCTAGTCATGTGTAATGAGGCAGATTTAATAAATAATGTCAGAGGCAACAATAAAAGGGGAAGTCACCACAATCCCAAAAGACGGTAAGGTTGCTCTCTCACAGAGAAACGACCGGTGGTGAGTTTAACCTGACGGTCACTCAGAGTCATTCGAAATCAAGCTGCGTCTAAGTCTTTGGTTGGTGGTCATGGCTTAACGTTTCAGAGCTTGTGAAGATAGTCAAAATACCGAGGTGTGGTTTTAATCTGAATTTCAACCAAAACAAAGGGAAAAGAGATTATTTTTCACAGTTTCACTAATGCTTCTTCTAATATTGTCTTTTTGACTCTCTGGGTGTTTGAAGCCAAAACCCGAATCCTTAAGGATTACTAGGCAATCATTTACACGAGGGCCCTGATAGTTTCTTTTGAAGATAAGTGTTCTAGCAATTAGTGGCAATAAACCTTTTGTTTTATTCCAGAAGGTGTCCAAATTGTTTAATATCTTTCCGTTTTCCGCACAATCCATAAATACACATGCGTATTCTCAACATGCCTCCTCCCTTGGAGAAATGAAACATTAGCTCCAGATGCATTTTATCATGGTGTAAACATGAAAAGGAATACAATTTAAAACACAGAAAATATAGACCTACATTCATTTATCATTTACTCATAATACAAAATCTATACAATTCGTTGTCACCTTCTTTCTTTCCACATGATCCTTACTTTTTGACAGGGCATCAGCAATGATATTATTGTCCCAGGAATGTGAACAGTTTTGGTGTTATAAAGTTGAATTAGCAAACTCCACTGATACAGTCGACAATTTTATTCTTAACATATTCTACAAAGGTCTTGGGGTTACAATCAGTGTAAAAAAGCATCTCTTTGTGGTCAAGATGTGGGCATAAAATGTGAAATGTTTAAGAGCCAGTAACAATTCCAGGGTTACTACTGTAGAGTATTTCTTTTGAGATAAGAACCCTACTGGCTTCCCTAGGCCCATTCAACATCTTCTGATAACATCACACCCACCCCAAGTGGACCTTTACTTTTGCTGCAACACTTGATTTTGCCCTGCTGAGTGTTGCAGGTAAATTACCTGTGCTTTTGCGAACCCACTGTTAGCAGAATTTAATCACTAGATCAGTCATCTGAAACAGTTCAAATAAGGTTTCCACTTGTTTTACATGCTCCTCTCAGGTGTTGCTGTCGCCTAAGTAAACCACACAGTTAGGATCGTGAGTTACTACTCGACTGGGTGTCTGTAAAAGAAAGCTGTGGCATTTTTAAACCTGAATGATATTGATGTAACCTGTTTCTCAGAATCTCAGGATTGTTGCGGGGCAGGAGGAGGCCATTTGGCCCATCATGTATGCACCCATTCTATTCCCTAGTGCCAACCTCCTGTTTTCTCGCACATATCACTACACATAATTTCTGTTCAAATAACCATCCCATGCCATCTTGAATATCTCACATTTCCAGGCAGTGCATTCTAGACCCTATCCACTTACTGTATGAAAAGGTTCATCTCTCACCTGGCCCTTGTTTTGTCTGCACATCACTTTTAAGAAGAAGGGTCCCGGCGCAAAACGTCAGCTTTCCTGCTCCTCTGATGCTGCCTGGCCTGCTGTATTCCTCCAGCTCCACACTGTGTTGACTTTAAATCTCTCCTTCTCTTTTCTTTGAATGAGAAAGAAGCTCTGCTCGTGATTTTATAAACTTCTGTTGGATCTCCTCTCAGCCGCCTTCTCTCCATGGAGTATGAAGACGTTGGGGCCAATCTTTCTTCGTAGCTGAAGTTTCTCATTCCTGGAATCATGTCGTCCTGAGCAGGACACACATCACAGGAGCAGAAATGGGCCATTCAGCCCATTGAGTCTGCTCTGCTATTCACAGAGATGGCTGATCCAGTAATCCTCAGCACCATTTTCCTGCCTTTTCCCCCAAATCCTTGATTACTGATTAAAAATATCTCTTCTGTCTTCCTGCTCATTAGCATCTCAGATGGGAGGCAGCAGCTCCACGTCCACTTCCAGGTTCCTTGGCTGCCCACAAGGCAGTTTGCTCTTGTAGAGAAAGCCACTTGGACTCCCTGTGTCTTGTAACAACCTGCCCGGTCACTTTCGAAGTTCACTGCTATTTTTGCAATGGGAGGCGCTTAGCTCAGTTGGCTGGACAGCTGGTTGGCAATGCAGAACGATGCCAAGAGCACAGGTTCAATTCCTGTGCCAACTGAGGTTACCACAAAGGAATCTCCTTCACAACCTCTCCCCTTGCCTGGGGTCTGGTGACCATCCAGTTTGTGGAATCCCTACAATGTGGAAGCAGGCCATTCGGCCCATCAAATCCACAGCGAGCCATACCCACTCCCCAGTCTTATCCCTGTAACCCTGCATTTCCCATGGCTAACCCACCCAGCCTACACATCCCTGGACACTACGGGGCAATTTAGCATGGCCAATCCACCCTAACCTTCACATCTTTGGACTATAGGAGAAAGCCGGAGCACCTGGAGGAAATGCACACAGACATGGGGAGAATGTGCAAACTCCAGACAGACAGTTGCTGAAGAAGAAATCGAACCCAGATCCCTTGTGCTGTGAGGCAGCAGTGTTACCTACTGAGCCACAGTGACGCCCATCCGGTTAACCTACCAGTCTCTCCATTACTTCAAGGTCATTAGTCATTCATTCTTTTCCAAAGGGTCTCGAGCAGTGAATGGCAGACGTTAATGTTAGTGGCTAGCCAGATAGCTGTTGTTTGTCTTCAACCAGGCCTGAAAATGAACTGGCTGTTTATCTGTAGTTGGTGCCCTGGCTACATCGATATACATGGTGTTTGGCTGCACAAGTAGGACGCTCGTCTGGTATTTGGTAATCTGACCCAGCGGTGTCCTCTCTGGGTGAAGGCTGGTGGCTGTTTGGAATGGGATGATTTGTTGAGGCACCGTGTTGCGAAGAAGTTTGTTTTGGAGAGGCAGGAGCGGGCCACTTAGGTGCTTTTCAAAACTCACTCACAGGATGTAAGCATCGCTGGCTGGGCCCAGCTTTTATGGCTTGTCCCTAGTTGATCCTTGAAAAGGTGGTGGGAGCTGAAGGTAGAACTACAATCCTGTTGGTGAGTTGGCAGGGGGCGGGGGGAGTCGCCCAAGATTTTGACCCAGTAATACTTGAAGGAAAGGCAGTATGTTTCCAATTTCCAAGTTGGGATGGGGAGTGGCTGGGAGGGGAGCTTACAGGGGATGGTGTTCCCATGTATCTACTGCCCCTTGTCCTTTTAGATGGTAGAAGGGCATAGGTTTTGGAAGGTGCTGTCTAAGGAGCCTTGATGAATTGCTGCAGGGCATCTTGTAGATGGTACACACTGCTGCGACTGAGCATCGGTGGGTGGAGGGGAGCGGATGTTTGTACATATGGTGCCAATCAAGCAGGGGGGGGGGCAGGGGAGGTGGTCTGCTTTGTCCCTGGATGGTGTCGAGCTTCTCGAGTGTTGTCGGAGCTGCCCCCATCCAGGGCAAGCGGGGAGTATTCCATCGCACTCCCGACTTGTGCCTTGTCGATGGTGGGACAGGGCTTTTAGGGTGGGGTGGGGGGTGGGAAGGAGGTGAATGACTCGCTGCAGGATTCCCAGCCTCTGACCTGCTCCTGTAGCTGCTGTGGGGCTGGTCCATGTTCGGTTTATGGTCAATGATAACCCTCCAGGATGTTGATGTGGGGATACAATGATGGTAACACCATTGAACGTCAAGGGGCAGTGGTTAGATTATCTCTTATTGGTGATGGTCATAGACTGGCATGTGTGTGGCATATATATTACATACCACCTGTCAGCCCAAACGTGGATTTGTCCAGATCTTGCTGCATTTGAGCATGGACTGGCTTCAGTACCTGAGGAGTCATGAATGCTGCTCAACACTCAAATCAGGCGGAGAGAGCAAAAGGGATACTTTGCAGCTGCACCGATCCTTCCTCCAATACTGTCGTTTTGACTCCCCCCAGTGTGGGGAGAAGCCAAAATCCACCCATGGGCTGTTTGGCAACCATCAGCGCATGGACCTCCATTATCTCCTCCAAAGACAAATGTCCCAGCAGTTGGAGGCAATAAACACTTTTTGTTGTCCAAACAGTTCAATATCTTCCAGTTCTTTCTCTCTCTCCCCTCCCACCCCCCGCCCCTAAACATATAAGTGAATTCCCAATACAAGAGCCAATGAGAGACAAGAAGTTGGGACTCGCTCCCACAGCGAGTGGTTGAAGCGATCAGCAGGAATGCATTTAAGGGGAGGCTGGATACGGACATGAGGGAGAAAGGAACTGTAGGACATGCTCATGGGAAGAGTGGAAAAGGGGTGGGAAGCGTCAGTACCGACGGAGACCAATTGAGATGATTGGCCTGAGCTCTGTGCTGGAGACTCAATGGAACAGAGAGAAACGTATCTATTTTCGATCCACTTCTAGTGGTCGAGCAAACATTATTGACTATCCAGGATGAAATAAATACACTTCCTCAGACTGTGTTGATCGTTTCTTAAATGAATGAATTAGGAGCTGCAGGAGGCCATTCAGCCCATCAGCGATGGTCCATCGTTCAACTTTGAATTCGACATTCTCTGCGACCTATCCCCCCGCCCAATTTCAGTGGGAATGTGCAGTCCCAGGGCTCAAAAGGCATCAGCCCGTCTGGAAGCGAAGTGGGTGAGAGCGGCCAGTCCAGCAGAAAGGGGACCCTCCGGCCCCTCCCACTCCACCCACTGTCAGAATAAACAGGTTTCAGTCCTGGATGTGACTCAGCAACAGCAGCAGAATCCGACCCCCTGGGCACCATCACTTGTGCACTCGCTGGTGTCTCAGCAGGTTGGATAACTGAGTGAATCCCTTCCCGCACACGGAGCAGGTGAATGGCCTCTCCCCCGTGTGGACCCGCTGGTGGGTCTGCAAAGTGGACGAGTCACTGAACCCCTTCCCGCACTCGGAGCAGGCGAACGGCCTCTCCCCGGTGTGCACTCTCTGGTGTCTCAGGAGGTGGGAGGACTGAGTGAACCCCATCCCACAGTCGCAGCAGGTGAACGACCTCTCCCCGGTGTGAGCTTGTTGGTGCGTCAGTAAGTGAGAGGACTGAATAAACCCCTTCCCGCACTCGGAGCAGGTGTATGGCCTCTCCCCGGTGTGGACCCGCTGGTGTTTCCTCAGGCTGGATGAGTCGCTGAAGCCCTTCCCACACTCAGGGCAAGCGAAAGGCCTCTCCCCGGTGTGTACTCGCCGGTGTATCAGCAGGTTGGACGAGTTGCTGAATCGCTTCCCGCACTCGGAGCAGGCGAATGGCCTCTCCTCGGTGTGCACGCGTTGGTGTGTCAGCAGGTGGGAGGCTTGAGTAAATCTCTTGCTGCACACGGAGCAGTTAAACGGCCTCTCCCCGGTGTGGACGCGTCGATGAGGTTCCAGGGCAGACGGGGAAGGGAATCCCTTCCCGCAGTCCCCACATTTCCACGGTTTCTCCATGGTGCGGGTATCCTTTGTGTTCTCTCTCTTGATTTGGCAAGAAGCTGATGCCTCGACACACACTCAGGAAAAGTGAGGTCTCTCCCAGGCGTGAATAGAGAGATGTTTGTCAGGATGTATCAAGCTCTTTTCACAGTCATATCATGTGAACAATCTCACTTCTGTCTGTGTGTCTCCGACTCTGTCTGTTTGCATGTGTGTGTGCGCGTGCGCATCTGCATACACCTGTGTCTGTCTGTCCGTGTTTGTGTGTGTGCCTCAATGCTTTTACAGTCACACAGATGCTCTGAGTCATTTCAAGCTGACGAGAACAAATGTTTCTCCCTCTGGACTCAAAAGACCAACGATAATCAGGTCCCCGTGAACAAAGCAACCCTGAGAGATCTGGACATTATCCTTGATCTGGGATTCCTGTCTGGAAATCCAGCTCTTTTAACAGTCTGTAAAATAGGTTAACAACAACATTCATCATCGAGAATGCAAGTTAGGAATTCAGAATAGATAATCCTAATTTCTGTGGAACATTCTGTCCCCTCTCATTCCCCAAAAGCAGTAAATCTCTATCCCACGCGCTTCCCTTCCATTCTCACAGTGCTGTACACCCAAACATATGAACAAGAACAACTCAGCCCTTACAGCCTACTCCACCATTTGATGAAATCATGGCTGCTCTGATTTTAACCCCAACTCTACATTCCTGCCTTTGCCTGATAACTTCTCACTTTTTTGCCCACCAACAATTTATCAACAGCTGCCTAAAGTAAAATTCTAAGACTCACCTTTAGTGGGAGAGAGGTCTGAGGGATCATGATCATCAGAAAGAAAACAAAGATCTCCTTATGGCTGTCTTAAATTGACCCCGTGGTTTTTAAAACAGTCATCCTTCATTCTAGATTTGCGCACAAGAGCAAACATCTTCTTGACAGATACCTCAGGATCTTTATGTGCTTCAATCAAGTCACCCCTTAATCTTCTAAACTCCAGTGTATA